TCCAAATAGGTCAATTCTTTGAGTTCTTATTAATAATCCTTTTTTTGAACAAATTAAAATTCCTTTTGATATGCAAAATGATTGAAGGTCCTAAATAGACGATTTTCTGATTACTCATTAAAAATCCTTTTTTAAAGAATTAACAGCGAAATTCCTTTTAACGTGCAAAATGATTGCACTCCAAAGAGGACGATTCAGTGATTACTGATTTAATAGTTCGCAAATATTCAAGAGATTACAAGTAAATTGGCTTCGTGAAATGGGTTTTTCCTCTCATTTCCTCACAAAACAACCCCCACGTGCAGGGCGAAACGCCCTAATTCCTATTACGTCATCCCATCATTTGTGGCCGTAATTGCACCTAGATGTAGTTTTTGAAACGTGATGGCTTTCTTTGAAAATGAAACAAAGCAATAATCATTCTTGTTGCAGTCATAACTCACTAAATGGGATCATTTAATTTGTTGAAGTTGATGTTTCTACATTATTTTAGTAATATATGCTCAATTTATATGCAACTAATAATATTACACTTTTTTAATTTTGCACTTTTTACATTTATTTCATGATTTTTTGTACAAATCCAATTACAATTAAGATTTCACTGACATCGCTGTTATATTCCATCATAATTAACTAAATATGATAAAGAACTTTGTATAATAAAACAGCTGCAGTTTTTGTCAAGTATAAATTGTATATATATATAACTAAGATAGTGCGTCTTCAATCGCGGATTCACTATAGTACGGCCAAAAAATTAAAAACAAATATCCATTATTCCGGTTTCAAACATTGCGGAATGTTGACGGAACGGATTACTCTCACTGTGCGAGGTATTGTATTTTTGAGTCTATATATTCACTTGTTAAAATTTGTTACAATTGTACATCAATTATATTTATCATCACATATTATTTAACTTTATAAAGTTGTCAAGACATAACTATGCGATGCATTCGTTGTTGTCCCAAAATACGCATGTAGAAAATATGTATAGAAATGTTAACGTTATAGAAAGCAAAGTTTCCTATTAAATTCAAGTATAAGTTTGCACTTGACAAACAACTATTATATGAGTTCACTGTAACAAAAATGAATAAAATTGTAAATCGTTAGGAATGAATACAAAATATGCTTTTCATTTGGATAAAATTTGATTCATTCATTAATTTAGGAATTTGTCATCTTTATAAGAATAAAATTTAGATTTATATTCCGATATGAATACATTTTTATATTACCATTAAATTTTGGAAAATGAATTTATATTTATTACTTATTTTGAGAGTTATTTTTATTATTTAGTTGTTATTATTATCATTTATTATTTATAGAATGTATTTTTTTCGGATTTCCTGTCTGATCAATAAATTATTATTATTATTATAGAAAAATATTATAGTGGAGATACTTGAATAACAATAAATTAAATATTCTCATTATTTTTGTAATTTTCTAAAATACAAGGTATTTGAGGACAGATTTAATCTCGCCAAAAAATAACAAATACTACTAAAGAAATTAACTTTATTTCTGAATAAATTTAAGTAATGAACACATAATATTTAATTGTAAAATCATTCAATAAAACTACTGTCAGCATCAATAACTACCTCTATATATGAGATGTAATCGTCCACAAGCATGAATTAAATGATTATGATTCATAGCATTAATTACTCTGACCATAGCAGCTTGCATGGAATTTTTTATGAGGTGGGGGTTTATTGACGTGTCCTCCAAAAACGCTACACACTTAAAAATCCAAGAGATTGAGGTTCGAAGAGTTAGGAGGTCTTTTATAAGTGGCCGCATTGATTTTCTGGGACCATGATCAATAGTTTATTGCAATCATTCTCAAAGTGGGGGAAAATATTTGGGGGGTCGCAGAAAAATTGATGACAGCTCAATCTGGGATATTTTTCTATACATACCTATTCTTTACAAATCGATTTACAAATTGATAAACGGCCACTAACTCAAAGAAAGACGCGAAAAGTTTATCACAAATATAATTATCAAATAAATATTGGAATGTATACTGATTGATTGATGTAACCATAAATAAATATTGGAAGTACCACTGGTCATCACATATGAAAAATGTTGGAAATTGATAAGCGAAAGTGTGAGCTAAATAACTATGTTTCAATAAGAAAATATCGTAATTAGAAAAGGGAAGCGCCAAGATTATACATGTTTAATTCCTTGTTACCTGACTATAGTTAAAATTTATTAAATTTCAGCAATAGTGACATAAATGTGCTGATACTTATAAGTACCGTCAGACAACAAAGGATTAAAAAGGGCATAGTGACATAAAGTATGGAAACTACTGATATAGGATGTTCCACTGAGAGCGCCGGATTTTAATTTGGCGCCATTTTTTTCCTATAAGTTTTGGTTTGGACGAAAGATCAAATTGCGCGGGAGAATGGAAGAAATCATTACATATTACACTTCTATACTAAAACTATTCTCAACTAATACTATTCTAATACGATCTTTTAAGCATGTAGAACAGCGTATTAGAATCCTCCTCCTAGCTAAGCGTTCCTCACCAACTTTATGGTGTACATTGTTACCACCTTTCACAACCACTGTTGCGCTCAAAAAGGTTGGCATGGCTAAATATTTTATATGTGCCTTCTGTTAATATTTAGTTAGTAAATATTGGATGCTCGTACATGAATGACCAACACGTTCTTAATGTTAAAATCATATTTAAAATAAGTAAAGTTTTGCAGTTCGCTAATTTCAAGTAATTTTTAGTCATAATAATTCGAAAAATACAAACATTTGTACTTTAGAACGAACTAAAATTTTTATTATTTGTAGGGAGAAAGACGTTGGTTCATAATCCAAAGTTTTGTCCAATAATTTGGTTTAAATATTTTTTTTAATAAAATTATATTTTATATGAAATGAAATGTAGTTGACACATTTTGCTGATTACAAATTAACGTGTAAATTTAGTATTAAATGATAGAGATGTTAAAAAATATATACAAACAATTGAATTGCTTTATTGGATTTAAAAACTAATTTACTGAAAACACAATCAAAATAATGGATATTTAATAGCGAAATGCAATCAAGCAGAACTGTATTGTTAACCAAATATATTACAAATATTAAACATATATGAAGAGAGAATATTAAAATAATTTTAATTCGGCTGTAATTACTCATGGAATTTATTTATTACATGTAAATATTATTTTACCCAAATTTACCAAAATTAATCCTATCAATTTGCGATTTTATAATTAATTATCAATGGCAATTATGATAAAAACACTAAATAAAATAATATTAAGTAATTAATTTATTTCATGTTACTATTATGATCATCAATGAATTAATACATAATAAAAAAGTACTTAAAAATTAATGGAAGTGATTGAAATTTAATAGCGAAAAACAATTAAGCAAAATCACATGATGGAATAAAAATCAATATTTAATACAGTTATTATTCGAAACGATGAAAATTTAATAACGAAACAAAATCATGTAAAATGATATTATAGCCATAAATAATAGTAATAATAATATTTGGTGCAAATATCAAAACATATTGAATTAAAAAAGAGGGATAAAATGAAAACTGTTGAATTCAATTACAGAGATAATATACATTTTCCATATATTTTAATGTTATTATAAAATACTATACTAATACATACTAAATTTATTAATACTTGTCAAAGTAATATGGATAACTGCAGAAATATCTCACATAATCCGTCTTCCTTCAGTCCGGATTCACTATAGTCCGGTTTGAATATTTCAAAACAAACTAAATTTTAATTAATAAAAATAATAATAAATTCGAATAAAATGGTACACAAAAATAGATTGTGTAAATAAATTATTGTTATTTTTAATTTACTTGTTGTTACACAGTTTTAAAGTCATAAATTAGTTTGGTTTCAAACAGTCCGGCGGAACTGATTATGTAATTAAAACTTTATCAAAGTTAACACATTTTATAAGTGATTTAATAAGTAATTAATAAAACAATAAAATTTTGTTTTTTGTTTACTATTGAGATTGATTTATTCAATATTATTTTGAGGAAACATTTTTTTATAGATTTGCAGATAATAAATAATCATTATGCACTTACATTTTTAATCAATGATGACAAAAATTAATAAGTGAAATAAATTAAATCATTGAAATTGTATATACTTTGTAACCTCCGTTCCACCCTGGTTATCCATCAATTTGATTCCCTGAGATATGCCTCAATTTACAACAAGATATATCGGTTTTCAAGCAGAATTTCAGTTCGAGTTTTAGAAATGTATTAATGAAAATGTGTATATAATTATAATCATTACAAAAAATGATATAACTCTTGGAAATGTATAGAGGAAACATTAAATCTAAAATCGATGACAGTTATGAAGCGTATTTAAATGCGAGAGATATAATTTGTTTGTAGGTTCACACTTGAAAGGAATGAAATATGATACGCCGTCAAAAAGTAGATTTAGTATCAAAGAACAAACAAAATAAAGCGTGCATCAGGAACTTTTTTTTTTATTATATTAGATTTTAAGAGCGATTTTTTGAAGCGAGCTTTAGTGGCATGGGGTAAACGCTGAAACGAGAAAGAAATTGAAGGATAATCTCTCAAAAAAAGGGCTCTAGTGATTTTTTTTTTGTATATATATATTTGTATGTAGATGCGTGCATACTGGAAGTATATAATAAAACACTCGACGTTTAAAACGAGCGAGGCTGTTGCTGCGCCTGCTGGAGTAGAGATCAAGTTTGTTGGTTGCCGGAGCGGAACTTCCTCCGAGAATATATCGTGGAGAGGCGTGCATTCCGCGAGCGAAATTTCTATTTAGAATATAATAAAACGAAAATAAAAATGTAAAAAAAAACGAAGGAAGCTAATATTAAAAGAAGGGTAGACGCAAGCACGCTCGGCTAAGGAAATATTGGTTTAATAACAATCCATCCTTTTCTTTTGTTTGCAGGAAGATGAAGTGAGATCTGAGGTGGTGAGAGGGTCGTCGTCGTCGTTGAGAACGGTAGCATGGAGAACAACGAACTAATCTTAAACCAAACATCGGGCGTTGGAGGCAATGCTAGCGTTTCGATGGGCGGAGAAGCAGGTGGAGGATTGGAAGGAGCAGAGACGGAATGGTCAGATTTCCTTTTGCTGTTTATCAGGGCGACTATCATGGGTCTGATCATCATCGCCTCGATATTCGGTAATCTTCTGGTCATCGTCTCCGTGATGAGGCATCGAAAACTGAGAGTCATCACCAACTACTTCGTGGTATCATTGGCGCTTGCTGATATGCTTGTGGCTATGTTCGCCATGACCTTCAACGCAAGCGTCCAGATCTTCGACCGCTGGCTCTTCGGGTATTTCATGTGCGACGTCTGGAATTCGTTGGACGTATACTTTTCAACAGCATCCATCCTCCATCTTTGCTGTATCAGCGTGGACAGGTACTACGCCATAGTGAGGCCCCTAAAGTACCCGATCAGCATGACCAAGAGGGTGGTCGCAATAATGCTGCTGAACACGTGGATCAGTCCGGCTGTGATCAGCTTCGTGCCCATCTTCATGGGATGGTACACAACCACCGAAAACCAGGACTTCCGGAACGAGCATCCGGACGTTTGCGGCTTTCGCGTAAACAAGGTGTACGCCGTCTTCAGCAGCAGCATCTCATTTTGGATCCCGTGCACCATCATGATCTTCACGTACTTCGCCATCTTCAGGGAGGCCAATCGACAGGAGAAGGAGATGTTCAACAGGCACGGCGCAGCGCTTCTGCTGCATCAGAACAACACCAACGGAGACATGCTCAGCAATTCCGGAGGATCTTCGAAGACTTTGATGCACGAAATCAACCAGGATCTACACCACACTCCAACCAAGGAACGTAATATTATCAAGATGAAACGCGAACACAAGGCTGCCCGCACGCTTGGCATCATTATGGGAACGTTCATCCTCTGCTGGCTTCCATTCTTCCTCTGGTACATCAGCACGTCTCTGTGCTCGAGCTGCGATTGCCCGGACATCGTCGTCACCGTCGTCTTCTGGATCGGATACTTTAACTCCACCCTTAACCCCATAATCTATGCTTACTTCAACCGCGAGTTCAGGGAGGCTTTCAAGAACACCCTGCAGTGCGCCTTCTGTAGCCTCTGCAGACGCCCGCCCTCCGATCTGGACTCCTACGATGTGCGGAGACCCTCCATCAGATACGATGACCGCACACGCAGCATCTACTCTGAGACCTACATGAAGCACATCGACCGCAGGAGGAGCTCCGAATTCGGCTCCAGCCTCTGAGTAGACCTAACTAGTAGCAGACTTACAACCACCAGCTTTTAAATCTGCTACTAGTTAGTGTCACGAATCCCCTAAAACCCAAAAAACAAAACCAACCAAGAGGAACACGATTATATGAAAAAAAAAAAATATTTATAAAAAAAATAATAAACCGGTGCTAAATTAAATCTCTTAACTAGTTAAGACTTAAACTATATAAAAAGCAAAAGGACTGAAGAGAAGAATGAATGCAAGACGACATAAATGTGATTCAATGTGTGTGATTTAATAATATTATATAATACCTATCATCCTCTCGTATATCTGTAAATAGCTTAAAATGTAAGAAGAACAATCATTAAAATTTAACGGTTTCATTTGGTCAGTACTTCTACTTCCAATTCACAAAAAATAGCAACAAAAAACTTTTCTTGTTTTTTTGTAAATATCGTAACCACAAATCGATTAATAACGATAATGGTAATTAATAAATAGACTTTGTCATGTTAATTAGTATTGTTGTTATTAAACATTATAGAGTACTTCAAAAAAAATGTAAATACTATGTAATTAAGCTAAATGTACAAAAACACGATATAATAATCCTTTAGACTCGTAGCAATCGTTATATAAATAGTCATAATAATAATAGCAAGTAAATGAATGTCTCAATGTTTTCATGATCAAAAAATATATATATAAATTAATAATCAATGTACTTAAAACTTAATCGAAGTGGTGGAAATTTTAATAGCGAAACACAATCAAAGCAAAAAAAATAGTATGATAGAAAAGTCAGTGTTTAGTTCAGATACCAAAACGTATTTAAATGAGAGAGATAGAGAGGAAACATCGAATAACGCACATTAAATTAAACAAAAAACAAAGGAGTCCTCGATTACTCGCTCGCATATAAAAATACACACACGATTTAGTCTTCCCAACATTAACAAGAACATGAATTGTTACATTAAAACTTAGAAGCAGCGTTCTTTAGAGCTTATTCGATGTTTATAAATGTTTTTAAATGTACTAAAAGAAATTAATGTAATATTGAGAGAGAGAGAGAGAGAGAAAGGGAGTATGGAAAGATAAGCAATAATTAACATTCGAGGCTATATAGAATGAGAGAGAGAACACATTTAATTTATTTAGTTTATTTTTTTTTGTCATTTATTTGTCATCGAACTAACAAACTTTAATTAAAGAAAGGAATAAAACCGAAATACGAAAACAAAAAAAAAGCCCTAATTTTTTAAGAGCCATGTAAATAAATAAATAGTGAATAGTAAACGTATGATATGTAAATTATTAAGTTTGTACACGATTATAATTTTCGCTGTAAATTATTCTCTTAGTGCATTAGTGTTTTTATACATTTACTTTTCGATTTGTCTGTAACATAATGTTTGTTTTCTTTTGTTGTTGTTGTGTGTCGTTTGTTTGTTTGTAATTTTTCTTGTTGTTTTTTTCTTTTTGCGTATATGTATTACATAATTAGTTTGTACACGATGGTAGAAAAAGTGCGCGTTTATTATATTTTTAATTTACCTTTTTTTTCTGATAGCGCATGACGATTTGTATGTATAGGAAAAGTCATTTTTAACTTATTTTTTATTTTTCGACGACGAAATCAAAGAGAGCGGATGTTCGAAGAAAGTGTGGAGAGAAACTTACGAAATATTATATAAATACGTATATATACATATATATTGAATATAATTTAAATAAAAATAATAAAAAATAAATACATTAAAAAATACCGACAATTTTATTTCTGATTAATTATAATAAAGGGAAGATGATTACACAATTATATACTTATTTAAAATTTAAAAAAATCTTGATAGGAAATTGTGCAGGTAATTATAGCAAACGGTAAGTAAATATTTCAGAATATACCAAAACTTTGTGTTGTATATTAATACATTTTTGCAGACATTAGTGCTATGTCATCCGCGAATGTAACAACAGTACAAACAAATATAACAAAAAATGACAAAATTTGTAAAATACATTCAATGTGGGTTTAAACATAAGAAAATAGGTATGAATTGGGGAAAATGGAGGCGGGTGTTGACAGCGACAGTTCTTGAACTTGTAGATGACTATAAACCTAGATTTTCCAGGTTTAACATCAGAATGTAAATAAAGTAGCCCGAAAATCAGACTTGCGTATCTATATTATGATTGTCGATGAATTGTCTCTTCAGACATTGCACCATATTTGTTAATGTATGTGGTGACTACGGATTTATATTAGTAATTGGTTGATGCAACTGTTTGTTTTTTAAGATAAAGGGATATCGATAGTTTGTTTATTTATTGATTTTACATTTGCATTCGGTTTTGTTGGCCGTTTGGGACACTTAGCAGACAACGCCGCATTTTCCTCTAAACTTAAATGTTTAATAATGACAGCATATAAAAATCACTACTATGTAATTTTAACGCAAAAAAAAAGAAATGGTGGCAAATTATAAATGAGACTCCAGACACCCTTTCGTTTTTATTGGCGTTATCCCTGCTAGACAACAGTGACACCCCCCACAGACTAAAGAGACAGAACACCTTCGGCCTCCCATTTGTTTTCTTGTCCATAAGAGTAATATTTTTATTTAAGTTTCATAGTGTTGTCAAAATCGATTTTTAGTTGGGTTGTTATTGTCATTGAATTATTTTCTAGTTAAATTTATATTTGTTCATAGGAAGATTTCCGATGGAAAATCGTTCTGCTCCACGCTAGTTATTTTGTTTTTCTGTTGACTACTCTTTTTTATCAATCGCCAAAAAACTATTCAATTCATTGTCAAAATTGTGGCAGATTGTGAATTATTAAATGTGAAAAAAAAATAGTTTCATTGTTAGCAAAAATAATACATATTTATTTTTCAATGCCAAAATATTACCAACTCATATTTATCTAGTTCAGTGTTTTTCAACCAGTAGTATCCTGATGTTGTCTATATGTCCAAATATATAAAGAAAGTTGAACGACTCTGGTTTAGACAATTTTTATGTTATATATAAGCTAACTTCCTGTACAGGTCATGCTAGGATGGTGAACCAATCAGGACTATACTGTCGATGAAACGTGTAATCCGATATCCGAAAACAAATTATGCATGAATTACAGTAAAAATAAAGCCGATACTAATAAAAACATATCAACAACAAAATACATAAACCAAGCAGAGACAACAACCACATGAATTATATTACTGCAAAGCCAAAATGCCACTAAAGCCATAATTATTTTTTACTGCATTTATGGAGAACTTACTTTAGCTGAAAAAACTGAGCGAAAATGTTTTACTTAGATTAAAGCTCCTTACTTCAGCCTCAAATACCATTCTTCATGCTAATAATAATGATTAAAGAAAGATATTGATCGAGAATAACCCATACTATCGTAAATTAATTAATAAAATGGTATATTTTACAATATATAAAAGTTTTGAATTTTAGTGAAAAATTGGCACGAACTTTCCAGACAACCAAATAAATAAGGTATGTTATAAATATATTATAAATGTTAAATTAATTAATTATTAAATACACAAAAATATATTTGGTTACAAATGATTTTTGTTAAAAGGGTGAATGACTCATAAAATCAGTAAATTTATTTCTGGTTCAATAAAAAAAGGTTATTTGAAAATGTGTAAAAACTGATACTCCAAAGAAAAATAACGATAAAAATATTTATATTGGGGCAATAAAAATATATGTATACTATTTGTATTAATTACGATTTATGCAAATAGTGCGGAGAGGTATCTAGGTAGCTTTATAATGCTATGAACTCTCCTCAACATTATCATTTCATTATTTATTTCTGAAAAACTAACATAGAATACAATAATGGCAATAGAAGCAGTGTCCCAGAAGCGCATATTGCAAAAAGCAGTACCCGATGCAGAAGAATCAGTTAGGAAGAGAGTTAAGTATCAATAACATGTTATTGATTTATGCTTTTCTAAGTTATCTACGAAATGCAAGAGCAAAAGCAAGTGAAATAAAGTTGCCAACAAGAGAATAGTTATGCCGCTGTATCGTAGGGTGTTGAATCAAAATAATCTGAAGATGATAATTCAAGAATTTAGGGTAATTATAAAGAAGAATTGAGGATTATTGAAGCCAAATGTTTTAAATTGATAAATGTAAATTGTAAATATTAATAAATAAACCAATATTTTAATTATAAATTAGATTTCTCTTCTTTTGACTACTTAAACAAGTCTATTAATTTATTTTTGGGTTTACATAAGTGGCAATATGGCAAAAGATGAAATTATATAATATTTTTAATACAAATTGAAATAATATGTTAATAATTATTAAATATAACAGTTTTAATATATTTATTTTGTTTAACACTTTTAACATTATATTTATATTTACATACATTTCTTGATAATAATGTTACTAGGTGTATTATTATCGAACTTATTTGCAATTGAAAATCCAAATGTTTGAAATGCTTCAATTTTCTTGTTGCCAAGCCGTTCTCCAGAAGGTTGACCACCAACGGATTCGGAATATAGCCTATCTATGAGAAATCTTTGATAACCTCTTCTTCGAACTTGATACCATAGTACTATAACAGTTTCATAATGGCGATGTAGCATTGTATCACTGTGATTCTTCTCAGACTTTGTAATTGACATATTTAGATCTTCTAGCAAGCAGTTCCCTACAATTAGA